AGGCTACTGCGAAGCCATTTGGTTACTCTGGATTGAAGGGAACTAGAAGGCTGCTGTGTGGTTATTGGTTACCCTCGAATGAAAATCAGTTATTGTATACTAGATAGTTAATCAAAGCAGCACTATTTTGTCAAACAATTTTTTGAAGCAACAAACATCATTTGAAAGCAGAGGAGCCCACTGGCTGCTTCAAGCATCTCATCGCACCCGTCACACCCGTCACATCCGTCACACATGAAAAGAGATGGATAAAGTAACTGAACGGTGTTCGATTTCGAACGCGTAGTCAGTCAGAAATTAGACCAAACTTTCGTTCCGTGTTTATAAGCTTTTATTTCTATTATGGTCACTTCATTTAAGACAGCCCTCTTGAGCGTTCTTCAAATTAACCTTTTCACCGAATCTGATAAACACCGCGTCACAAAATGCCAGCACTGGGAAGGGTAGGTAAAATTTGATTTATCAAAGCAGACGTCATTGAAAAGGTTAATTTGATGAACGTTTAAGAGGGCGGTCGTTGGGACCCAACTGAAGTGGGTAAGTTACAAATAAAAGCTAATAAAAAAACGGAACGCAAATTTGGTCTAATTTTATTGTTATTATTATTTTTTTTTTATCATGAGCAACTGTCGTCTTTTTTTCTCAGATCGACTAAAACTGTCGATTGATCTGTTCCTCCCAGTTGTAGACAGTTACTTGCACCCGTTGAATAGCCATTTACTTCGAGATTCCGACAGTCACAAGGTTGATAAGAGGCCATCTTTAATTCGAAAATTATTTAAATACAATAAATGAAGTTTGACAAGATACAAGTACCTTTAAAACTAGGCGTTTCATTATCTTTTATGCGATCTATTTTCACGAAATTCTAACTCTATTGACTGTCAATGACACTCAACCTCAAATTAAAACCTTCTGAATAGAAGCATTCTAGATATTCAGATAATACAAATCAATAAAACTATTGGAGATGTTCGAATTTCTACAAAAGGAGTATTTTATTAGGGGTAAATCGGTTCGTAAATCACGAAGGTTATTTTATATCAACCAGTGCCTATGGCTCAATGTCAGGGGCCCGTTTCGCAAAAACTCTTACGATCAATCGCAGATTTAATCGTAAGACTATTCATGACGATAGCCTTTGAGAAACGCACGTAATCGTAAACTTAAGATAATTGTAAGTTTAGTCTGAAGTCGTACGAATTTTTTAGAACCGGGCCCCAGATCTTTTAACAGAGATTCGTGATATACAGACACAGCTTTATGGAACAACAATTACGATGTTTTATGCAACGTTTCGACCCCCCGAGCATCCTCATGTACAAAATGATAGGCATACTATATGTTCGATTCGATTCTTGAGTTGAACGTGGGTTGATGGACAAAACATCTAGTCCATCAGACGTTGTAATGACAAAAGGCCTTGTGTGCTACAAGCTGTTTTTTTAATGTCACCCAGCAATCAGCAATTGAAAAGGACAGCCTTGGTAAAATTTCATACCCAGCATTGGCTGCTCTCGGAGTCTAAATCAAATGAAGACAACTGGAATGTAAAATTAAATTCCATTTCACTTTATCATCAAACAGATTTTTTTGAAAGAGTTAAGTTAGTGTTAATAGGGTTAAGCATTTCCATCTTCAAACGTATTCTGTACCAAAACCCTCTTAAACCGTTAAAAGTTATTGCAGTTATTGTGTGGTATGACAACACTATTGAAGTGGTTAATGGTCGAAAATAAGCTATAAGTGATTGCCCCAGAAGTGTTTGGTATCACTTCAGTTTTATCATTTCTATTCTTGACAATTTTCCCATGGTTCAGTTTGCACGTGCATGGGATATTTGTTATTTGAAAGATTATTGTTAACGTTATCAGTCATATTTAAGGGTATTTAAAGATTAAATGTAACAAGATAATAAATTTCTAATAATGCCTTGAATAATTACAATAATATTGCAAATTCAGAAGATATATCACGTGATATTTACAAAGTCTTCTTCCCCTTGGAAGTCTTTGACCAATCAAAAAAAAGTCATATAAAGATATGAACAAAATAGGGAAATTCCCAAATCACTCACGAGTAGGATTTATCTTATAAATCGTGTTGGTGTTTTGTCTCTTAATTTATAAGGAAAGTGAAGATGTACCGTTTAAAAAAAGGGGGACGTATAACATGATATCTTTCTCGTGTTATTTTGTATGTTGAACGTGATTGTACTGTTTGTTAACAGATAAATATCGATAGAGGCCAATGTTACATGTCGTTTTGCAATCAAACACTTACAGAATATCACGTGGGGTTTACCCGTCGCTACTAGCCCAATTAAGTGAACAAATGTAGTAAAACTTCATTTCAGTATTATCTTTTTCTGCCCTTAACACCTTCAGAATGAAGTCCGATACAGACGATGTTTTCGATTAATATTCCAAGTACACATTGTCAATAGAATTGATAGTGATAAAACCAACATTCCAACTCAAAACGATATTTTGAAGACATGTATCAATAATATGGTACCACTTTCTACGACGATCCTCATTTCATGTATACGTATAAGCAATAATAAAATATTTTCACTGTTATAAATAAATAGTGCCCAATACATCAATTGTATAGCGATGTAGAAATACCATTATTAAAATAGTGCTCAATACTTCAATTGTGGAGCGATATAGAAATACCACTGTTAAAATAGTGCTCAAGACATAAATTGTAGAGCGATATAGAAATACCACGGTTAAAACAGTACTCAATAAACCAAGTGTAGAGCTATATAGAAGTACCACGGTTAAAACAGTGCTCAATAAACCAATCATAGAGCGATATAGAAATACCACTGTTATTATAGTCCTCAGTACATCAATTGTAGAGCGATACAGAAATACCACTGTTGAAATAGTCCTCAATACATCAATTGTAGAGCAATATAGAAATACCACTGTTAAAATAGTACTCAATACATTAATTGTAGAGCGATACAGAAATACCACTGTTGAAATAGTCCTCAATACACTAATTGTAGAGCGATATAAAAATAATTAAGTGAAGGAAATATATCTAGCAACAACCAGAATAAAAATAAAAGTTCTAGGGTTGTGTACGTGCCAAATCATTCCAATCCGGGGAACCGAAACGGATCGTTGTGATAATTTCAGACACTCAATCGTAAACTCGAAACAATCCCATCGGCACACGTCACATTGTGACACCTGAAATTGACATACATAGATCGCATACTAAGCTTATCATCTCCGTGCTTTGAGGGAAATTCCATGATCAGCTTCGAATCGTAGCGTTGGATATGGATCGCATTATAGTGGCAACCTTGCATTACTATTTTCACCTCATGACATGTAGGTTTTAATTTAGGAAATTTTGTCAGTGAATTACAAAAGCCTTCACATATAGATTTCCTATTGCCGAGGGACCCTTTACAGTTTGTAGCACACGGGGTCAAGGTTTATTGTTCATCCGTACGACTAGACGCTTTTTCCATGTCAACCTAACCGACCATGTTAAAAAACCTATATCGGGATCGAACCACGGACCTTTAGGTTATTGGACAGACTCCTGGCGTAGGTAGAGATCCTAATCATTTTCGGTTAAAGCGAAATGCAATGCTTTTAAACCTTGTATGTTTTCTTAAAATCTGTATTTTTAGTGAAAACCCCCTCAAACCTTTGAATATTCTTCATTTTTTTTTTCGAGTGGCGTGACAGCAATATTTGTGTTAAATTACATTTAATTTAATAAATCAAAACCCTATGAAAAGATAAGCCTTTTTTTTTATCCCGTGTCATCTTTAGGGACGCTTTCTTTGGGTCTTTCATAGTACGACGGGGTCGTGAGAATGCCCCTTATCTGTATTACACTAAAATGGGTTAATGTTCCACTAGAGTAAGTTTTACCTTGGTAGTATTTTGTGTTCATGTCACAATGTATTTTGATAGAGTATGGGAGTGGTTGATTGATAATAGCTTGAGATTAATAATATGATGCACTTAAAGGCCTATTCATGTATATTGGGGGTATATCGGTTATATTTGCACCACTCTGATCAGAGTGACGCGCTTTAAAGGGACCTCTTATAGCCTATTTATATGTATAAGGTGTGCTGCTAATTATTGTACCTACTTTAAAGAGACTAGATAGAAGAATCTTTTCAGTCCAACGTCTGGGGTACCTGTAAAAATTGGAATATAACTAACGCAAATTCTATTTGGCTTAAATGGTATTTACAAAAGTGTCCACCATTTAATCTGGTCAAATTATTTTCTGGAACTTCAGGTACCAGACTTTGGACAGTCAATCGGTATGATAAAACTAAATGAATAAAGCTTTCACGCTACAAATGTTTATTGTAAACTTGAAAAAAAAAAGAAAAACGTTAGATATCATTTCATTCACTCATCGGCATCATCATCATCATCATCATCATCATCATCGGTTTCTTCTTCAAAGTCATACTGAGCTATGTTATTGATATCAAACCGTTTTAAAGGTATTAAATCTCTCAGACATATAAACTGGATTAATTTTGGGGCAATATTTAAAGTTTGAAGTTTTTCTTGAATACCTGGTCCAATACACATTCTGATTTGTCGACGACATAATTCTGTCAAACTCAAATTGTCACAAAATCTTTTAAAAAAATTTTCTTCAGGTTCATCCATTTCAAAAGTGTCAAGAATGAGTTGTCTTGGTGCACCACAGTGATAAAATATTTTTGCCAGTTTAAGGAGTTTATTTTGGTATTTATATAGAAATTTGAATATTTCCTCATCGCCTGAATTGGGAAATGAGCTCATGGAACAATTTTGAGTAATAAGGTACCACATAAACGAAAAACGTTTTGTTCCAAGAAGATATTGAAAAGGCGTAAAACCGTATAGATCCTTATAATCAAGAGAGCGAGCACCACCATTTTCCAGAAATAGCTTCAGACAATCGAGATACCTTTGGTTAGGATTTGCATATCCAGATTTCGGTTCTAAGAATTGCAAGGCAGTTCGTCCATCTTGAGCTCGAATATTGACGTCCGCCCCAGCGTCTATCAATTCTTGAAGTATTTCTTTGTAATTATCGGTAGCAAAAATCATTAGCGGTGTTTGTCCTTTTTTATTCCTCAAATTAACATCCGCACCTTTTTCCAAAAAATAGCTCACAAAAGTACCAAAGTGTTCAGCAGAAACCATCAAAGGCGTATCCCCATCTGTATCCTGTTGGTTTACATCAGCCTCGTCGCAATGGTGTTTTATTTTATAGAAAATCTTGGTCCCTGATTGTGGCAGGAGATGAAGAATATTGCGATTGTTTTTACCAATATGATGAATATCAAGTCCGTTTGATACCAGGTATTCAAAAGTATCACTATCATCATTGTTTAGTATGTTCAGAAGGTATTCATCAGTCAGTTTCTCCATTTCAATCCGAACACATTTTTGATGGAAAAACTCTAGGATATCCTTCGCGGATTTACCTTTGTTCTCGTTCTGTAGACAATGGTTTATTAGAGTGTTTCCATCCATATCTTTATGTTTCAGATCTGCCCCGTGTTGGATTAGCAATCTAATTGAATCCAAGTCTTTACAAAACGCTGCTTGCATCAGCGGTGTGTAACCATATACATCTGAAGCGTTTACATTACTACCAGCAGTGATAAGCTTGGCGACAATATCGCTGGTGGGACTATGGGTGGCTTTCATCATGATAGCTGCAGATAATATGGTTTCGCCGTTTTCTAGGCATTTAACATTTACATCACATCCGGCTTCTACCAGTATGTCTACTATTAGTAAGTTGTCTGACGTCACAGCAACAAAAAATGACGTCTCACCGGATGAGTTTTTTGTCTCAAGAATATGCAAATTCTTCGTACTTTGAATGCGCTCAACAAATCTCTTAATACAATCGAGAGAATCTTTTGTCTCGGGATTTTGACAGAGATAGTGTAGAGCTGTGTTTTTCTTTGAATCACACGATGTCAAGTCAGCACCATTTTCTATGAAATATTTCACCAGGTCTGGGACATTAAGACAAGCGGCCATAACTAACGATGTTTGATTGTTTCTGCTGTCCGTTATATTGAAATTTGCTCCATTTTCTACCAAAAGTTTGACACAGTCTAAGAGATCCGGGGTTAAATCATTTTCAAAGCACCATTGTAATGGGGTCAAGGCCAATTGCTCACCACATACTTTATTGAGGTCAAACGTAGTCGCAGAGTTTAATAACAATTTTAATACGTCAAAGTTACGTTCCTTACAAGCCAGTCCTACAAGTGTCATACCTTGTAATGTAGAATGTACATGGTTTGGTTGTTCCTTTAAAAGAAAATCTATGATTTGAGGCTTTCCGTCTTTTACAGCTTGGAATAGAGCAACCCATTCCTGGTCACCGGGTTCAGATTCAAATTTCAATCCGTTGTCTACTAAAAATTTTACTCCTTCAAGAAAATCTGCTTGGATGGCACAGCAAATAAATTCCTTATTTGTTTTGAAGTCAAGTTTATCTTCCACGAGCACGAAGTCTTTAGAAAAGAGAAGCTTCAATAATGATAAAGATTGTAGTCGTATTGCTTTCATACATTGATCAAATTTTGCCCCATGGAACGCTTCCCTATCTTCTATATTTAGTTGATTCTCTAGTCTCAGGACATCAGCTACTATTTCTTCGGATTTCTCATCATTATCTTCCACAGCTTGATCTAATCTACAAAATAAAACTGTCATCAGCATAGGACAAGATTTTAGTTTTACGTGTTTTTCTGCATATTCATCGGGTCATATTATTTTCTTCTAAACAATGGGACATTGAAGATGTCTATTTATAACTTTATATATCAATTTCAAAACATTATTAAAAAGTAAAAATTTCCGCTGTTCTTAAAATTAGATGTTCTCTGGTGTTAATGCTGTAATTGGCCCTGTACAAGCAGAGGTACCATTACTGGACTATAACAGTAAAATAACACACAGAGTATTTACCTTTGAATTAGTTTATTTACTGTCACATCAGATTGGCCAGAGTCCGCCATTTTAGTTTTATATCTTGCGTACATACCAGTCCAGTTTAAAACCATTCAAACTATATAGATCTGGACTGAAATATATTAATATCATTATACATAACTAGATATATAATAAGTAGTGCAGTCTCATCGGAAACTAACGAGAGTTACCGAAAGTTACCGAATGGTGAAGAACATGAAAGTGAAATAAAATGGCGGCTACTGTAAGCTGTGTATTGTATACTTTCGAATATATTTTTAGATCGCCTCTGAAACTTGTGACTTATTGATATTCTCGCGAGTTCGTAACAGTACGATCTAGACGTATGCCTAAGTCAATAACTAACACAGCTGCGTTCGTAACAGTACACGCTAGACGTAAGTCAAGAATACAGTTGCGAATACGACCTACTTTCACACAAAGCTCTATGTATAACAGTACTCAGTAGCCTACCTTAAGTTTTCTTTATTAACTCTCTTCGTGCCGCATGATTTCGGAAAATAATAACTAATCAAGAACATTAAATTATAATATATCCGTAGAGCGTCTCAAAATGATACTCATTTTTCCACATGGCAAAAGTTGAATTAGGTCAATAAACTGAATAGACCGTATATATATATATCGTAACTAATGGCAACACGATACGAGTATTCTTCACAAAAATCGATAAAATAATTGCTGTCTGAATATATATTTCTTTTATAAGTAGGTTGTCTCCCGTTGAACAGCTACAATATACGCAAAGTCATTTAGATTATATTAGAATTTCATGGTAGGTTTTTATCTTAGTAGTTTCCTCAAACTGTGATATCAAACACCAAATACAGTCAGTAGATAGGCTGCTCCAATCGTTTACGTCCGAGGGTGGGGGGCGAATTATCTGAGATTGCTAGAATTTCTGACCCAAGTAGATACATCATAGTAAATAGCTTATTTTAGAAATCTTTTCATGTATAATTTACAATATTTTAAAATTTTGCATAATGCCCCTTTAATATAGAAGGCTTTGTTAAAATATTAAAATAGCCTTTTTCAAAAGTTGCCGTACAAAAAATTATAAATGTTAAAAATTATACTTTAAATGTCAATCAAAGGGAAATTTAACGAAGACCTAGTTGGCGGTATTAATGATAATAACATCATAAACCAAATGATAATAGTTCTTTCGATACGCAATGTCTATGCTAAAACGATAAATCGAGCTATTTCATTATTTCAATCAATCGAGCATCGTTTGCCAATCGTCTTCAGTATCTGAATCAAGACTCTCAATATAATAGGATACAAATTCCCTCTCACATATACAATAAAAAATTCTAAAGGTATCACATCCCTCAGATAAAGAAACCGAATCAGTTTTAAGGGAATTTGTAAATTTTGAAGTTTTTGTTGAATACCTGGTCCAATATAATTCGGTCAACTCAAATTTGCACAAAAAGTTTTTAATTCCTTTCCGTTAATATCTTTCAAATCAAAAATATCTTGAATGAATTGTCTTGGTGCACCACTGTGATATAAAATTTTGTCACTTTCAAAAGATGATATCGGTATTTATCTGAACATTCCATTTTTTTACCTTAATCTGAAAGCGAGCTCAACAAACAATTTTGAGTATTAATTTTTCTTTATTAACACTCTTTGTTCTCGCATGTTTTTGTGAAAATAAAAACTAATCAAGAACATTATATCGTAATATCTCATCTTAATGATACTCATTTTTCCACACAACAAAAGTTGAATTTGGTCAACAAGCTGAATACACCGTAAATAAAGTATCTATTGTAACTATTGGTAACACAATACGTGTTGTCTTCACAAAAATCGATAAAATAATGGTTGTCTGACTATATATGTCTTTTAAAAGAAGGTTGTCTCCCCTTTGAACAGCAGCTGTAATATTACAGTAGAGCGGCTTACGTGAGTGTATACTGACTTTTTTGGGGGGTTTGAGCACTCTTTAGTTTAGAACCAAATCAGAAAACTCAACGACAACACCACTCTCGCTCTGTTTTCTGTTAGACTTCACAAGATTTAACAGTACGGTAAAGGAGACTTTAAAAATCTAATAATTTTCTAATAATTTACTGATCATCACAAACCTTGAATAAGAAATGGACACGTTCGCCATCCGTTTGACTAATCGTACCTTGGTTTTAGAAAGGTTTCAGAGAGTTTTAGCTTTTAATCATTAAAACAGCTCACAGGTCCTTTCTTGGTACTCCGGCATACATAGACAAAGTACATTTGAATATATTGTGCCATTTGCGTGCAGTTATAGTAGTTCTGGTGACTATCTACATATATTCAAGACACAAATTAACCCCCAGAAATGGCGAGCCTGGGCCTTTATGATTGTTTTTATCATGATCTCCATCCATTGTCAGTGTCAGTCTGATTGTTATTACACAAATTGTTAATTAATTGTCAATAATTGTAGTTGCATCATTTCCTCCATCCCACGTTCAAATTTCATACTATTAAGTTCTTAAATGCCTCCAGACCGAAACATATGTCTCTTTGCATTTTTTGGTGGATATTTGAAAGTTGTAGGCGATAACTGTCAAAATAGTTATCAGATGCTGGAATAGAGGCAGATGTTTCGGACTAAAATGCCTGATGCCTTAAGATTTGCTATAATAGTTCCATCTATCTTTTAGTCTGAGATCCTGACAGGGTTTTCTCCGAACACAAACTTTCGAACAAAACAGAAGTTGTCACCAAAATACTCATCATGCGAATCGCGTTTAGCTATGTTATTAATGTCAAACATTTTTAAAGGTATCAAATCCCTAAGACAAATAAACTGGATTAATTTTGGGGCAATATTTAAAGTTTGAAGTTTTTCTTGAATACCTGGTCCAATGCACATTCTGATTTGTCGACGACATAATTCGGTCAAACTCAATTTGTCACAAAATCTTTTAAATTTTTTTTCGTCAGAATCATCCAATTTAAAAATATCAAGAATGAGTTGTCTTGGTGCACCACTGTGATAAAATATTTTTGCCAGTTTCAAAAGATAGAATTGGTATTCATGTAAACATTCAATTTTTTTACCTCTATCTGAAACCGAGCTGAACGAACAATTTTGAGTGATAAGGTACCACATAAACGACATACGTTTTGTTTCAAGAACATACTGTAAAGGTGTTAAACCATCTAGATCCTTATAATCTATAGAGCGAGCACCACCATTTTCCAGAAATAGCTTCAGGCAATCTAGGTAAGATCCGTCTAGAAAACTTAATTCTATACATGGATCTAAGAATTGCAAAGCTGTTCGTCCATCTTGTGATCGAATATTGACGTCCGCCCCAGCGTCTATCAATTGTTGAAATATTTGTATTTTATTATTGGCAGCAACAATCATTAGCAGTGTTTGTCCTTTTTTATTCCTCAAATTAACATCCGCACCTCTTTCCAGACAGTAATTCATTAAAATATCGATCGGGAATATTTTTTTAACGACACACATCAAAGGTGTATCACCGTCTGTATCTTGTTGGTTAACGTCTGCCTCGTCACAATATGGTTTGATTTTGTTAAATCTTTTAACATAGTTTTCAGGCAGGAGATGAAGAATATTGCGATTGTTTTTACCAATATGATGGATATCAAGTCCATTTGATATCAGGTATTCCAAGGTTTCAGCATCATCATTGTATAGTATGCGTCCTAGGTGTCTTTCCGCAAAGTTTTCGATCCTTAACCAAGCACCAGTGTTATGCAAGAACTCCAGAACATCCTTACATGATATTCTCTTGTACCCTTCTATATTCCGATAGTCAAAACAATAATCTACTATACCGTCTCCATCACATTCTTCTGAATGTATGTCTGCCCCATGTTGGATAAGCAATTTCATTGAATCCAAGTCTTTACAAGACGCTGCTTGCATCAGCGGTGTGTAACCATATACATCTGAAGCGTTTACATTACTACCAGCAGTGATAAGCTTGGCGACAATATCGCTGGTGGGATTTTGAATTGCTTTCATCTCGATAGCTAAAGAAAGTATGCTTTCGTCTGTTGTTTTTACATTCACGTCACATCCGGCGTCCACAAGAATGTCCACAACCTGCACGTTGCCTGACGTCACAGCAAAATATAATGGCGTATCGTCGTCAATATTTTTTGAATCAAGAATCTGCAAACAATTGACAATTTTGATTTGCTCTACAAAACGCTCAATACACTCGAGAGAATAGTTAGATTCAGGAATTTTACAGAGATAGTGTAGAGCTGTGTTTTTCTTTGAATCACACGATGTCAAGTCAGCACCATTTTCTATGAAATATTTCACAAGGTATGGGACATTAAGGCATGCGGCCATTATTACGTTCAGGTTGCGTGTCTTACATGCCAGTCCTACAAGTGTCATACCTTGTAATGTGGAATGTACATGGTTTGGTTGTTTCTTTACAAGAAAATCTACGATTTGAGTCTTGCCATATTCTACAGCTTGGAATAGAGCAATCCAATTCTGATCACCGGTTTCAGATTCCAATTTCAATCCGTTGTCTATTAAAAATTTTACTCCTTCAAGAAAATCTGCTTGGATGGCACAGCAAATAAATTCCTTATTTGTTTTGAAGTCAAGTTTATCTTCCACGAACACGAAGTCTTTAGAAAAGAGAAGCTCCAATAATGATATAGATTGTAGTTGTATTGTTTTTAAACACTGAATACTTTTTGCCTCCTGGAACGTTTTCCTATCTCCGATACTTAGCTGATTCTCTAGTTTAAGAATTTCTTGAACTTCTTCCCTGGTTTTCTGATTATTACTCACGACAGCGGTGGATAATCTACAAATATAAAGAATGTTCGGCATAACAAATGAAGTTTTACATCTATTTCAACAGTTGTTCTACTCTTTTTCTATTCCAGCTGTCGAGGAATCTTTACCAAAAATGGGTTGTTTGTTTGAATCAACGTACTGATCAGAGAGTGGGAGTGCGGTTTAGCCAATCAAAGCGAACTTACTCATACAGAGGCATTGGATTTTCTATTTCAAGTACACTATCGATATTACTGACAAAAATGAGTTTACCTTTGAATAAGTTCTTCTACAGTTACATCAGATGTAGCAGAGTCCACCATGTTAGTTTTATATCCAGCCTAAATTTACTGATTACATTATACTGGATCTGAGAGAGAATTACACACGGATCCTAAACTAAGGCTAAATATACCAAATTTACGCTGAAACACCATTTAATCCCACAATGTTAAGTTTAGGACACACTTCAGGTTTGACTTGTTGAATTAATATTTATTCCAAAACACATGATATTCTTGCCTGACTATGTCGGCAAATCAAAACAATTAACAATGAATTTTGCATAAACCCTTTATAGTAAAAAAAACGCTTCGTCAAGCCTGTTAGCATTTAAACTCTTTATTTCACAATAGATATTTCACCACCAGTATGTCATAATGATAAGTTATCAGTTAGTAATATTAGCCTTTACTTAAATCAATAAAGACTTTATAAATATGGGTATTTGTATTCTGTATTACTTGTATATAAAGGCCCGTAACCAGACTTGATTGTATGTCGGTCAAACTAATATATTTATAAAATCTAACATGGCTGACAATGGAATATCTCGTGTGACTGTAGAGGAACTTATTCAAAGGTAAACAATCTTTATACACAGTTTATGCCTTTGTCAGTGATGTCGATCATTTATTTAAATCGATAGATTACTGAAAGCCCAGTGAATCTGGCTAAATAATCTCTTTATTTTTGTAGATTATCCACCGTTGTCGAAAATAATGATCAGAAAACCAGGGAAAAAGTCGAGGAAATTATGAAGCTTGAGAATCAGCTGGATGAAGAAGATAGGGAAGCGTTCCAGGAGGCAAAATTTGACCAATGTATGAAAACAATACGACTGAAATCTTTATCATCATTGGAGCTTCTCTTTTCTAAAGACTTGGTGCTCGTGGAAGATAAACTTGACTTCAAAACAAATAAGGAACTTATTTGCTGTGCCATCCAAGCAGATTTTCTTGAAGGAGTAAAATTTTTAGTAAACAACGGATTGAAATTGGAATCTGAACCCGGTGACCAGGAATGGATTGCTTTATTCCAAGCTGCAGAATATGGCAAGACTCAAATCGTCGATTTTCTTTTAAAGGAACAACCAAACCATGTACATTCTACATTACAAGGTATGACACTTGTAGGACTGGCTTGTAAGAGAAGTAACTTTGACGTATTAAAATTATTATTAAACTCTACGACTACGTTTGACCTCAATAAAGTATGTGGTGAGAATTTGGCCTTGACCCCATTACAATGGTGCTTTGAAAATGATTTAACCCCGGATCTCTTAGACTGTGTCAAACTTTTGGTCGAAAATGGAGCAGATATCGATATAAAGGACAGCATGTACAATCAAACATCGTTAGTTATGGCCGCTTGTCTTAATGTCCCAGACCTGGTAAAATATTTCATAGAAAATGGTGCTGACTTGACATCGTGTGATTCAAAGAAAAACACAGCTCTACACTATCTCTGCAAAAATCCCGAGACGAAAGATTCTATTGATTGTATTCAACGAATTGTTGAGAAAATTAAAATTGCAAATTGTTTGCAGATCATTGATTCACAAAATGTTCGCTCTAAGACGCCATTATATTTTGCTGTGAAGTCAGGCAACGCACAGATTGTGGACATTCTTGTGGAAGCCGGATGTGATGTGACTGAAACACGGCCCAATAACACTTATACCATATTGTCTGTAGCTATCTTTATGAAAGCAATTCTGAATCCCACCAGCGATATTGTCGCCAAGCTTATCACTGCTGGTAGTAATGTAAACGCTTCAGATGTATATGGTTACACACCGCTGATGCAAGCAGCGTCTTGTAAAGACTTGGATTCAATGAAATTGCTAATCCAACACGGGGCAGATATACATTCAGAAAACTGTGGTGGAGACGGTATAGTAGATTATTGTTTGAGATATAGGTATATTGAACGGTGCGAGAGAATATCAGCAAAGGATGTTCTAGAATTGGTCCATAAAACTGGTGCTCGGTTGAAGATCGATGACATTGCGGAGAAATATGTCTATGATATAATGAATAATTCTGATACTGATACCTTAGAATACCTGATATCAAATGGACTTGATATCCATCATATTGGTAAAAACAATCGCAATATTCTTCATCTCCTGTCTCGTCTCGACATGAACGGATTTAACAAAATCAAACCATATTGTGACGAGGCAGACGTTAACCAACAAGATACAGATGGTGATACACCTTTGATGTTTGTTGTTAAAATATTCCCGTTCCATTTTTTAATTGATTATTTTCTAGAAAGAGGTGCGGATGTTAATTTGAGGAATAAAAAAGGACAAACACCGCTAATGATTGTTGCTGACGAAAATGATACAGAAATACTTCAAGAATTGATTTACGCTGGGGCGGACGTTAATATTCGATCACAAGATGGACGAACAGCTTTGCAATTCTTAGATCCATATAAAAAATATTATGTAATTAATCCTTACATCGATTGTCTGTTGCTACTTCTGGAAAATGGTGGTGCTTGCTCTCTTGATTATAAGGATCTAAAAGGTTTAATGCCTTTTCAGCATGTTCTTGAAACAAACTGTTTTTCGGTTATGATGTACCTAATCATTGAAAATTGTTCCTTTAGCATGGTTTTAGATAGAGGTAAACATTTTGGATTTTTACATGAATTGGATCTGGCAAAAATATTTTATCACTGTGGAGCACCAAGACAACTCATTCTTGATATTTTTAAATTGGATGATCCTGACGAAAAATATCTTAAAAGATTTTGTGACAACTTGAGTTTGACAGAATTATGTCGTCGACAAATCAGAATGTGTATTGGACCAGGTATTCAAGAAAAACTTCAAAATTTAAATATTACCCCAAAATTGATTGAGTTTATTTGTCTGAGAGATTTGTTACGTGATGAAATGTTTGATATTAATAACATAATTTCATATAATTCTCATGAACAGTACGCTCGTGTGGGTATGTTTAAGGGGCGAGTGTCTGTTCATTAGTTAGATGATACATTACAGGTTTATTTTATCGTTTACTTGTGGGGAACTGGGGATTTGGGATTATGCCTGATACTTGATAGTATTACTATGACTTTGGTAGCTGAGTGTGTACATTGGTGTTTTGGGAGGGGAGGGGAGGGGACAGGAGGGGAGGGGAGGGGAGGGGGGGGATGGGGCTCGGAAAGTCAAGGGGCGCCTAATTCGTCAATTATCTTCTGTTACTATGATTTTAGATATTGAAAATGTTATAAAACAGTGTTGGATGATATTTTTCTTTCCAGTCTTCAAAAGGTGAACATACGCAGATGAGTTGTGATAACGTCCTTTTTTCATTCCTATACTTTCATTCTTAAAAATGTTATTGGCGGTCTGTGCACTAAACTTCATAGCGTATTTGGGAAGATAAATTCATTTTAAGGCGGGAATTACCATACCATTCTCGACTCAAGTCTCGATGTACATTTGTAGGATATGATTTTGTTTTTGTCGTAGGATGATGCCATATCAGTTATTGGTCACTACGATGAACTAATTGACGCATTCGGGTAAGGGACTCGAGAATAATCCCGTTACACTGGCTCGATCGCAAGCAAATGTGAAGAAAACGCTAGAAAAAGTCCCGTAGACATTCTCGATTCCGTAGCGATCTCAAGGTCGAGTATTGGCGACAATGGCGCCAACCGTACGATATCTGACGCTCACTTCATACTTATACCACGCTAATGGCATGTCGACTTTAACATGCCCTGAGCTATGTTACGATGTGACGGAGCTAGAACTGCCAAAAGCATTTATTCAAACACTGAAATGAGCGATATTCTGATTCTATGCTCTTATTAAGAATTAAATCTTTCAGTAGTAAAGTTAGAGTAAAGGTAGAGTTTTTCATTATTAACTAAATGTTTTATTTATACCATATTGAACAAAAGGCGCAGTTGTATAGTTGGCGTCAAAATGATTTCTGCCCCTCCAGCCAATCTGGAGCCACCACGCCACTGAGTGTGTGTAAATTCTAAACAGATATTGGAGATTCTTAATTTGGTTTTTGAATTTTTTTTTGTGGATAATTGTAAGTTAGAATGTCTTTTAGATAAAGTAGATTTATTGTTAAGTGTTATTAAACTATTGTAAAATTACATTACTGAGTTCTTGATTGTTGCTGGCGTCTGATTGTTTATTTCTGACCCAGAACATAATAAGTTTATAAAAGGAAAAGTCATATTCAGGCGCATAATACGTCCTTAATCACCATACCAGTATTATTTATCTACAAACGAGGGCTAAAAGATAGATTGAACTATAAAAGGGGCAATCTGATTTTTTCAGTAGGTTGAAAAAGTGAGGTTCTCAAATTGATGAAAACTATTGACACTATTAATGTGTCCCCTAGCTTTTCTAAAGGTTTTAAACAAAATTGTCTAAACCTTTATTCAAAAACGTAGATTGTCTACTTATGTATTTCTAATAATTGATAAATGCTTTTTGGGAAGTGTTAAAAAAAACGTGTGAATTTAAGCAAAATAAACGCTTATTCAACTAAAAATATTGAGTCTTTATGAGGCCGAACATCAATTCTAATTTGAACAACCTGCGTAACAATAAGTACACTCCGTTCTCTTTTTACCCTGTTAAAACAAATTTAGTTTGATCAAGTATATACATAGATGTAAATAACCAAGAAATATGTTCAGCTATAATTTACGACGTTTTTGTTAATGAAAATTGTGTATACTGCCTTAAAATAACGAATTAATATTAGTATTTATTCATAATTTTTATAAGGAAGTTCAACTCTCTCATCATTTCGCGACGCCTACATGTATTTTGAATAAAAGTATTGTAAATATTATGGAATGGAAAAATGCCTGATTATTTTAAACGATATTTGTTGAAATTGCGATTAAAACTTGTATGTAGAATTTATAGTGATAATGTGTATGTATTTTTCTATAAAAGTAATAGTATAATATATAATATTAAAATCAAACTTATATATTGATAAAGTGAAGGCTCATGTTACTGATAACTGATAACTTATCATGAAATACTGGTGGTGAAATATCTATTGTGAAATAAACAGTTGATATGCTAACATTATTCATATTGTCATCAATTCAAATACTGTATCAAGATAGATAAGTTACATAGATATGTAGTTGATTAAAAAATAGCAAAATTAGGTCAGTATTTTACAGATGTTAGATGTTTAAGCTGTATATTTTAGCCTTAGTTAACTTTATGGGTATAACTCTCTCAGATCCAGAATAAAGAATCAGTAAATTAAGGCTTGATGAAAAACTAACATGGCTGACAATGGAATATCTCGTGTGACTGTAGAGGAACTTATTCAAAGGTAAACAATCTTTATACACAGTTTATGCCTTTGTCAGTGATGTCGATCATTTATTTAAATCGATAGATTACTGAAAGCCCAGTGAATCTGGCTAAATAATCTCTTTACTTTTGTAGATTATCCACCGTTGTCGATAATAATGATCAGAAAACCAGGAAAAAAGTCGAGGAAATTATGAAGCTAGAGAATCAGCTGGATGAAGAAGATAGAGAAGCGTTCCAGGGGGCAAAATTTGATCAATGTATGGACGCAATACGACTGAAATCTTTATCATCATTGGAGCTTCTCTTTTCTAAAGACTTCGTGCTCGTGGAAGATAAACTTGACTTCAAAACAAATAAGGAATTTATTTGCTGTGCCATCCAAGCAGATTTTCTTGAAGGAGTAAAATTTTTAATAAACAACGGATTGAAATTGGAATCTGAAACCGGTGATCAGAAATGGATTGCTCTATTCCAAGCTGTAGAATATGGCAAGACTCAAATAGTAGATTTTCTTTTAAAGGAACAACCAAACCATGTACATTCTACATTACAAGGTATGACACTTGTAGGACTGGCTTGTAAGGAACGTAACTTTGACGTATTAAAATTATTATTAAACTCTGCGACTACGTTTGACCTCAATAAAGTATGTGGTGAGAATTTGGCCTTGACTCCATTACAATGGTGCTTTGCAAATGATTTAACCCCGGATCTCTTAGACTGTGTCAAACTTTTGGTCGAAAATGGAGCAAATATCGATATAAAGGACAGCATGTACAATCAAACATCGTTAGTTTTGGCCGCTTGTCTTAATGTCCCAGACCTGGTAAAATATTTCATAGAAAATGGTGCTGACTTGACATCGTGTGATTCAAAGAAAAACACAGCTCTACACTATCTCTGCAAAAATCCAGAGACAAAAGATTCTCTCGATTGTATTAAGAGATTTGTTGAGCGCATTCAAAGTACGAAGAATTTGCATATTCTTGAGACAAAAAACTCATCCGGTGAGACGTCATTTTTTGTTGCTGTGATTGATTGTATTCAACGAATTGTTGAGAAAATTGAAATTGCAAATTGTTTGCAGATCATTGATTCACAAAATGTTCGCTCTAAGACGCCATTATATTTTGCTGTGAAGTCAGGCAACGCACAGATTGTGGACATTCTTGTGGAAGCCGGATGTGATGTGACTGAAACACGGCCCAATAACACTTATACCATATTGTCTGTAGCTATCTTTATGAAAGCAATTCTGAATCCCACCAGCGATATTGTCGCCAAGCTTATCACTGCTGGTAGTAATGTAAACGCTTCAGATGTATATGGTTACACACCGCTGATGCGTTGATGCGCTGATGGATTCAATGAAATTGCTAATCCAACATGGGGCAGATATACATTCGGAAGACTGTGGTGGAGACGGTATAGTTGATTATTGTTTTAGATATAGGAATGTTGGACGGTGCGAGAGAATATCAGCAAAGGATGTTCTAGAATTGGTCCATAAAACTGGTGCTCGGTTGAAGATCGATGACATTGCGGAGAAATACGTCTATGATATAATGAATAATTCTGATACTGATACCTTAGAATACCTGATATCAAATGGACTTGATATCCATCATATTGGTAAAAACAATCGCAATATTCTTCATCTCCTGTCTCGTCTCGACATGAACGGATTTAACAAAATCAAACCATATTGTGACGAGGCTGACGTTAACCAACAAGATACAGACGGTGTTACACCTTTGATGTGTGTTAAAAAATTCTCGTTCCATTTTTTAATTAATTATTTTCTAGAAAGAGATGCGGATGTTAATTTGAGGAATAAAAAAGGGCAAACACTGCTAATGATTGTTGCTGACAAAAATGATACAGAAATACTTCAAGAATTGATTTACGCTGGGGCGGACGTTAATATTCGATCACAAGATGGACGAACAGCTTTGCAATTCTTAGATCCATATAGAGAATATCGTGTAATTAATCCTTACCTCGATTGTCTGTTGCTACTTCTGGAAAATGGTGGTGCTCGCTCTCTTGATTATAAGGATCTAAAAGGTTTAACGCCTTTTCAATATCTTCTTGGAACAAACTGTGTTTCGTTCATGTGGTACCTTATCACTGAAAATTGTTCCTTTAGCTTGGTTTCAGATAGAGATGAGTATTTTGGATTTATAAATGAATACCGTGACCATCTTTTGAAACTGTCAAAAATATTTTATCACAGTGGTGGACCAAGACAACTCATTATGGATATATTTCAGATGGAAGATAGTGTGGAAAAGAAATTTGAAAATTTTTGTGACAACTTGAGTTTGACCGAATTATGTCGTCGACAAATCAGAATGTGTTTTGGACCAGGTATTTACGAAAAACTTCAAACTTTAAATATTGCCCCAAAATTAATCCAGTTTATATGTCTGAGAGATTTAATACCTTTAAAACGGTTTGATATTAATAACATAGTTACAGATGATTTTGATGATGAGTACGATAGTGAGGACTTCTCTCTTGTGTCTGATTGATTTGGTATGAGTTCCTTGTTAATTGATTATCATATGTAAAACTTGGTAGAAGTGTTAAGGTATGTTTAAGGGGCGATGGTATGTTAATTATTTAGCCGATACGTTACAGGTTTATTTTATCGTTTACTTGTGGGGAACTGAAGATTTTGGATTATGCTTGATGATTAGTATGACTTTGGTAGCTGATTGTGTGTAAATTCTAAACAGATATTGGAG